CCACATGACGAACCACAGTTCAAGTCCCAGACCTGGTGGTTTGCTTTCTCACTTTCTTTCTCTCTCTCTCACTCTGTCCCTCTCCGATCAAATTAAATTAAATAAATAAATAAAATAATTCTTTAAAATAAATAAGTATAAATAAAAAGTAAATAAAGTAATTATGTAAGTTAGTATGTCAAAATCTACAAAAACATGTTGGCCAATCTCATTGTGGGCCTAAATTTAAATAAATTTTGTGAAAACTACCCACTATTGATATTATCCTACACTACAAGAATTGAAATGAAATTATTTGTGAAGATTTTGGCACTTATTTCTATGCATATGTATATTTCTATACACTTATTCTATCCATACAATGGAGAGCCACTATTCCCTCACATACACAGAATAATGTCCTTCTATTCTCTTAAAAGTTTTATACAAACATAAGCTCATTTGTAGTTCACTGAGTGTGAAACAATTACTCCCACAAACAGACCAACAGAAAGCAAAAATAGACTAGTGTGTATTTTTCAGTTTGTGGTCTCCTCTGGGTTGAAATACAAAGAGAGAGTTAACAAAATGAATGACTACATTACACCTGAAGTAGATGGGGAAGCCAGATAACCTGCTCGAGTAGTTCTCTTTTGACAGCCATTACAACACGTGTAGCTAGAAATATAATTCAGGCAGTTTTCAGGACATTCATGTTGTCATTTGAATTAGAACTGTTACCTTCAGGGCCCTGGAGAAAACCAGCTTCTGTCCAGGATAAGTGGGGATGGTAGGCATGTATAGGGTGGTCCATCTTTGCAGCTCACTACCAAGTTAATAATGAGAATAGGTTTACTGTGAACATTCGCGAATCACTGAGAGCTGCTATTACAATGCTTTGGAGAAGATGGCTACTATGTTTATTACTACTTAAAACTTTGTAGTTTGGGATGCCAAAGAGAAAGAAAAAAGTTTATCTATTCAACTATTCTGGATTCTAGAGAAATGTGCTGTCCTTATTACAATGTACCAAGAAAGTGGCAAATTCCAAGGCTGTCATTTCTTTCACTAGTGGAATTAAAAATGAAAGTGTCCAGAGCAGTAATCAATGCCTTGCTTGTTGTGATGGATTACGTTTGACTAAACAGTATAACCTTTAATTACCTTTAAAAAAAATGCAATTGTCCAATGTCTTTGCTGTTTTCTTTGTGATTTCCCATAGAAATACAATCTGTTATTTGCTATTTTTATTTAGCTTAAATAAATTTAGTGCTTATGGAAGGTGGTGGATTAACAGCCTTGGAGTGAAATTCTTTATCCTCTTAGTCTTTTATTATTAAACCCTTTTAGAGCACTTTGTTCTCTTTTGGGTTTCATATAGTTGATCCATTTGATTATTTTAATAATATCCTTGTATAGTGAGAATTTGTTATTCTCATTTTTTAGATAAGAAGGTAAAGGATAGGGTCCAGGTCATGAGGAAAGCTGCAGATTGTTCGACCAAGTTTGGGTGGAGGGTGTTAACCTCTGACATGCACTGTGGCCACTTGGGGACTTGAACACTTGAATAGAAACTAAGGATATTTAATTACAGTTTCACAGATGAAATCAATCAGTTTATATTCAGATAAACTGAAATTCAACATTGGATGAAAACCAGAAGTACACGAGTGAATTACCCAAAATGTCTATTGAAGAATGAAATTGGAAAGAAAGAAGAAAATAAAGTTGAAAAAAGAAAAAAAACTGTGATTTTTTTGCTTTTTGGAAAAGATAACTTGCTGACATTATAACACATACATTCAAAAGGGAAAAAATTGGGCCCCTGCATCAAAGTGTATTTTTTCCAGCAATTAAACAGAAACTATTTTTCCCTGGAGATACCTCTGGCCCCAAACAGTAACTCAAAAATATCCCAGTCACAAAGATGTGTTTTCTTCTTATGTATATAATGTGTACAATTAGTCAATGGAATAAATAATTTGAGTTTACTTTCTAACACAAGGTAAGGTTTTTAAGATTCCATCTGCAAACATTTTACCAGTTTCTAAACTGGTCATATTTTTTTAACCATTGATAGCTATGTAGGAAAAATGGGAAGCCGAGAAGAAAAAGTACTTAATGCTTGTTTTAATGTGCATGTCCTATTAAGTCTTCATGTTTGTAAACTACTTTGCAATTTTAAAAATTCATATCATTTGCCCATTTATTTATTGAAATCTCATTATTCTGTAAATTGCTTTCTGCATGACTATTATATATTAGCACTCAAACTATTAGACTATGGTACTAGTTGCAAATGTGTTTACAACTTGCTGTTTAGCCTTTAATTGTGTTTATCTAGAAAGATTGTGATAATTAAATTTTATTTATCTCTATCTTCTGTCATCAAATTTACCTTTTTCATGGCAATACAGCAATGTTTTTCTTAACTTTAAAGAATGGAAAGTTCTCTTCCATATAGAAATTCCATAATTAGCCACTTCCATTTACTTTTTAGCTTTTTGACAGAGTACTCATGGCAAGTTCTAGAAATAGTATAAATCATATATCTATAGTATCCTTAGATCCAAGATAGCCTTCCACACTTGCAATCCAGGTGAAAACAGAAAGAAAAGGACTTTTATAAAAGAGGGATCTTTAAAAAGTTCAAGGAAAATAGATACTATGAAAAAAATTATGAATAGATTTTAATTTTTTTGCATCAAAATACACTTATACTTTAAGTCCATGACATCTTTTTTTTTAAATGAAATCTTTGAAGTCCACTCATATTTAACATTTACCTCAATGTTTAAAAACAACGCAGTCAAAACACAAACAAAGCACACATGCATTTTCCTTTAAAGGAGGCTCATCAAAAGGAATGTTGGGGCCATTCGGTGGTGTGGTGGTTAAGGTGGCTGGATCTCACATGACCAAAGGTGCAGTTTGAGTTCCAGACATGGTGACTTCAAAAATATGCTGGGAGATCATGCATGCATGCTCAAAATCCCAAGAGGAGAATGGAGGAAAAGAGAATGAAGTGTGGCCAACCCTCCCGGGGAATGATTGCTCTCTCCTCTCTCCCTCTTTCTTTCCCCCTCTCTCTGGTTAGAGCACATGCCCAATAGCAAACAAACAAACAAAAAGGAAGAAAGTATTGCTGAAGAGCTGAACAAATGGAACATTGCTAATTCAACAGTAATCCTTTCCCATCTATCTTCAAAAGCTTTGCTAGACTACTACTTAGAAAGAAGACATTTACTTTGATAAAGAGTCTTATCTAGGGGTACTTACATTTAAATTTAGAGGTCCCCAAACAAAAATAAACCCTAAGAAACCGAGCTCCTGATCTTTTTTTTTTAATCTTTTTTTTTTTTCATTTTTGAAGAGGTTTTTCTATAGGGCGTGTGCGCTCGCCAGACGGACAGAGAGAGACAGAGAGACAGAAAGCAAGAAATAACCCCCCAGGGGGGATGGCCACACCACAATCCCTTCTCCTCCATTCTCCTCTCGGGACCTTGGGCACTGCACACGTGCCCGGCGTGAGTTTAAGCCACCGGGTCCAGGACTTGAACCGCAGTCAACTACATGGGAGTCCAGCAACATAGCCATTATGCTAACTGCTGGTCCCCTGATCTATCATTTTTAAGAGGGAGCTCTCTACCTTATGAATTAGAAATTCCTCGGGTGACATTTTACCTATACTCCTGAGAGAACGTAAAGGCTTTAATGCCATCTCTTATTTGGCCTCCAAAGTCATTTCTTCTTTTCGACTCATTCCTCACATCCCATATAGAATGTTCCTCACTTGATGAGCTAGTTAATGTTTCCAAGAAGCCAAGTAAAGAATACCTCAACACATCTCCAGAAACAATTCCTTCTTGGTTTATGGCCTCACCGCCCAGCCCACCCCTCAAAAAATAAATAAATAAATAAATAAACAAACAAACTAACAGGAGCAAGTTCCATCAGCATTTCACTAAATATCCTCCAGGGAAATGAAGAATAAAAGAAAATGAGGTGAGGTTCCCAAAAGTTTCTCCTATCATTTGAGAAACTCAGAACAAAACACTGTCCAAGATATTATATAAATAGGATTTAATATGAAGGCTTCTCTAATTGTCACATATAATCCCTACTGGTTTTCCAAATTTAAATAGTATTTAGCCCTTTGTGCCTAGCTAGGCAAATATCAGACAATTCGGAATATTTTTTTTTCCTCTGAAACTTATGTGTGCTATTTTGCTAGGAAAAAACAGTGAATTTTTTGTGAAAACCCTAGAGAAATGCTTAGATAGAGTAAGTGGAGGGCCTGTCCAGCTAGGAGGGCCCCTAAAAGTGGAGTCCAGTGGCTTGTTGACATACAGAAAGAATGATGACCTGACAGAACAATTTTGGAGAGGATTTACTAGAAGACTAGAATAGTGCTTAACTCATGATAGGTACATTTTCAATACTTGAAGTTTAACTGAAAGTATGTTAAATGGGAAAAGTAAAGAGGGAAGGACGGGGAGAGTGAAGGGGAGATAGAGAGAAAGAAGAAACGCAAAGGGAAAAGGAGGAGTGGAGAGAGGGAGTGAGGAAAGAATGGGAGAGAGAGAGAGAAGGATATGCAGCATTGAGAAAGGAAGGAAGATAAAAACAGGAATTGGGAAGAAAAGAAGGAAGGAGGGAGACTACGATGAAGAACAGATTCTGCACGTTTTGTTTTTAGTGGAGTAGAATTGACACTGGATTTAGAAATCTGATTTTGCTTCTTTGAAAGACTAACAAAGTGGAAAAACCACCCATTTTATTTCTAGGGCCCTTTAATTTCATCAGCAAATATCACACTCATTACAAAATCAAGACCCAATATGTGGCTTACATTTGTAAGCCATATCATCTGAAGGTAAAGAAAATCAATCCGTTTCTATTAACCTCTTAAAATACTCCCCTTTCAACCATCATAATAGAAACAAATATTTTTTTTTCTCCCACTAAGTCATGGCCTATGCTTCTGTTATAATCATCTACTTAAATTAAATATTAGGTACCTTGGAGTGGGATGCTAGTGAAGAGAAAGGCCCATCTTGAGGCTGGCTCTGCTGAAGCCATTTCTCAGTAAGTACATCAGGAAGGACTTCAAGAAGACAACACATCAAATATCCTGCCAAGAGCAGTTTTCTTTTTCATCCATTTATTTTTAGTACTGCAGCTGGGAAGTCAAATGACTAAGTAGACTATTGCACTGTAAGGCAGGGAAAAAGTAAAAGCACTTGAGTGGCAACTGGATTAAGACCCCAGAGCCTAAGAATGAATATTCTAGCAGAAATGTGTCTAGTGTTCTGAGAATGTTTTACCTGCCTGGTGGGCCAGTGAGGGTCCTTCTCTATACTTTGCTTTGGTCAATACATGTCACAGACATGTTCGGAGTCCAAGTCCCTTTCCAGATGAAACAATAATAGCCTATCCTTTCTCTATTCCTATGAAGTAGTTTGTTAGACTCAGTGAAATATAAGATATATTAATATAGGGGTCAGCAGGTGGTGTAGTGGTTGTGGTGCTGGACTCCTATGTGGCCGACTGTGGTTTGAGTCCCAGACACAGAGGCTTGAAAATCACACTGGCCATGTGTACATGCATGCCCAAAATTCCAAGAGGAGAATGAAGGAGAAGGGATTATGGCATGACCATGGTTTCTCTGTGTGTTTGTTTGTGTGTGTGTGTGTGTCTCTAGTTCCTTATAGCAAAAATCTCTCTCTAAACAAAGAAAAAGATATATTACTATAAATGGGTAAGAAGTTTCAGTTGTTCCAGGCTATAATACTTTGGGAGGAGAAATCAAAAATAAGACTGTGACATTGAAAAGTGTTTTGTTTTGTTTTTCAAATATTTTATTGCCAGAGGATGCATGCAAGAGAAAGAGATCTAGAGAGCTCATCTCCAGTGGGGTGAGGTCATATAGCAATCCTTTTTCCTCTGTTTCTTTATACCCTCAGTATTTGGGGAATGCACACACATACACTGGACATGCTTTCAAGCTGTAGGAGGCATGATTCAAACCATAGTCATGTGGATCTTGTTCCCTTTAAAATGAACTTAACTGCTGTGCTACATGGTCAGTCACTGAATTTTTTTTTTTTTTTTGAGAAGTTTTTGTGATAAGGCACATGCAATCACCAGAAAGACGGAAAGAGACATAAAGCGAGGATGGCCACACCGCAATCCCTTCTCCTCCATTCTCCCCTCAGGATCCTGGGCATGCACGCACACATGCCCAGTGTGAGTTTCAGCCACAGGGTCCAAGACACAAACCCTGGTCGACTACATCGAAGTTCAGTGACATAGCCATTACACTAACTGCTGGTCCCAAAATGTCTTTAAATATACCTTTTAACTCCTTTTTCCTCTACTGAGTCTCCTCTTCTCCTCTTTCATCTGTTCATCTTCACTTCCCTCCTTCTCACCATTTCACTGGTCATATAAACCTGGTCATATAAACGAGTAGTTACTGCCAAATTCATCAAAAGTTATAACAGTAAATGAGTGATAGTATTACTCTACAGGTAAGGGTTAGGTGTGTCTTGCTGGTATATAGCAATACTCAAAAGTAATACTTATGAAAATATTTTCAAATACAACTCTGCCTCCTTTGTAAATGTTTATATTTGATCCATTGATCCAGAACCCAGAATATGGGTGGTGGCTATCTGGGAAAAAAGAACTATCCTCAGAGCCGATCTAAGTTTACCAGAAACAAGCTTTGTTTCCTTTTTCATTAGCACCACTGGCCTATAAAACTTAGCACTATGAAAAAAGAAAATCAGAATATGTTTATATAAACAGGGTCCTTTAGCTGACTAACTGGTCCCATAAGTGCCAGTTAGTCAATCTGGTGACATGTCTTAAAACTCTCAATCTTAACAAAACTTTATTAATAATTTAAATAAAGATATATGAGAAATGTGTTAAATTTGAAGAACTCCTATTAATAGGAGATAATTAGTTAACTTTCAGAATCATAGTCCATGGTTTTATCTTAGAAAACCTGCTAAATTTTTTATGTCATACTAATTGATCTGGAATTGAGCATTCACCATTTCTCTATTATTCAAGTAACTTTTGGTTACATGAGATTATGCCTATAATTGTCCTTCCAAAGCAATATCTATTTTATATATTAAAATAAAGTAGTATTTACCAGTCATTACCAAACATTTTTATAGTAACTGTCTACTATTATTTTTAGTTGATATATAATAATTGTGTATAATTATGGTGTACAGGTTTTGATGCATGACTACAATATGCAAAGATCAAATCAAGGCAATTAACATATTCATCATCTCAAACATTTATCATTATTTTATGTGGGGAATATTCAAAATTCTCTCTTCTAGTTATTTTGAAATAGAAGATATTTTCTTGTTATGTAGTCACCCTACTGTGCTATAGAACACTAGAGCTTATTCCTCTTAACTAATTTTAATTTTGTATTTGTTTATCAAAATCCCCCTACCGTACATTTCCTAGCTTCTAGTAACCACTATACTACTCATTACTTATATGAAATCAACTATTTTAGCTTCTACATGGGAGAGAGAACATTCAGACTTTTCCTATTCCTAGTTTATTTCACTTAGCATTTATTTCACTAATGCTTTCCAGGCTCACCCATGTTCATTTAAATGACAGGATTTTGTTCTTATGAATGGCTGAATAGCATTCCATTGTATATATATGCCACATTTTCTTTATTCATCTGCTGATGGGCACTTAGGTTGACTCATATCTTGGCTATTGTGATTAGTGCTGCAAGAAAATGGCAGTGCAGATATCTCTTTGATATACCAATTTCCTTTCCTTTGGGTATATAACCAGTAGTGGAATTGCTAGATCATATTATACTTCTATTTTTAGTTTTTTGAGAAACCTCCATACTGTTTTCCATAATGGCTGTACTAATTTACATTTCTGCCAAGAAAATGTAAGAGTACCTTTTTCTGCATCTTTATCAGTATTTGTTTATTTGTCTATTGATATTAACTATTTCAAATGAGGTAGGATGATATCTCACTGTAATTTTGATTTTCATTTTACTGATGATTAGTGATAGCAAACATTTTATTCATATATTCATTGCCCATTTGCATGTCTCCTTTTGAAAAATATCTATTCAGGCAATTTTTTTTTTTTGAGAGGTTTTTCACTATAGGGCGCGTGCACTCACCAGTCAGACAGAGAGAGACACAGAGACAGAAAGCGAGAAATCACCCCCCAGGGGAGATAGTCACACTACAATCCCTTCTCCTCCATTCTCCTCTCGGGATCTTGGGCACACATGCACATGCGCCCGGCGTGAGTTTTAAGCCACCGGGTCTGGGACGTGAACAGCAGTCGACTACGTGGGAGTCCAGTGACATAGCCATTACGCTAACTGCTGGTTCCCTATTCAGGCAATTCACCCACTTTTAAATTAGATTATTTGATTTTAGTAGGGGGGGAAGGGAGTTTGACTGAGTTAAGTTTAAGTTCCTTGTATATTCTGTTACTAATCCCTTGTCAGATGTATAGTTTGAAAATATTTTCATCCATTCTGTGGGTAGTCTTTTCACTCAGTTGATTGTTTCCTTTGCTACATAGACTTTTTTCAGTTTCACATAATTTATTTGTCAGTTTTTCCCTGTCCTCTTGAAGTCTCATCCAAGTTTTTTTTTGTCCAGACCTTTGCATTTCCTTTATGTTTTCTCCTAGTAGTTTCATAATTTAGAGTCTTACATTTAAATATTTAATCCATTTTATGTTGACTTTTGTTACAGATAAGAGATAGGTGTCTAATTTCATTTTTATGTATATGTATATACAATTTTCCAGCACCATTTATCGAAGAGACTGTTCACTTCCCAATAAATATTTTTGTCAAAAATTAATTGGTTATATCCATATAGATTTGTTTTTGGATTCCTTATTCTGTTTTATCAGTCTATGTGCTTGTTTCTATGTTAGTACTATGCCAAATTGCTTACTACAGTTTTGAATTACTTTCTTAAGCCAGATAGTATTATGCCTCTACCTTTGTTCTTTTTACTCAGGATAGCTTTGACTTCTGGGACACTTGTGAGGATGCCTAGTATCATCACTCTAATTTAACACAATACTGAAAACTTTTGCTAGTAAGAGCAATTAGGCAAAAAAGAAAAGAAATTAAGGATATTTAAATTGGAAAAGAGGAGGGACCAGCAGTTAGTGTAATGGCTATGTCGCTGGACTCCCATGTAGTCAACCGCGGTTCGAATGTCAGACCTGGTGGCTTAAACTCATACCAGGCGCATGTGCATGCGTGCCCAAGATCCTGAGAGAAGAAAGGAGGAGAAGAGATTGTGGCATGGCCATTCCCCGGGGGGTGATTCCGCCCCCCCCGGGGGGGGGGTGGGTGATTTCTCACTTTCTGTCTCTCTGTCTTTCTGGTGAGTGCACGTGCCCTATAGCAAAAACCTCTCCTCACCCTCCCAAAAAAAATGGAAAGGAGGAAACCAAATAGCCCCATTTTGCAGACATGACTTTTTGATCTTATATTGAATAAAGAGTACACCAAGACACTGATAGAACTGATCAATAAATTCAGTAAAGTTATAGTATATAAAATCAACATATAAAAATCAGTAACATTTCTTTTTTATTTTTTATTTTTGGAGAGGTTTTCACTATAGGGCACGGGTGCTCACCAGAAAGACAGAGAAAGACAGAGAGACAGAAAGCGAGAAATCACCCCCCAGGGGGGATGGCCACGCCACAATCCCTTCTCCTCCATTCTCTTCTCAGGATCTTGGGCACACTCGCACACACTCCCAGCGTGAGTTTTAAGTCACCGGGTCCAGGACTCAAACCACGACATAACTAAGTCCAGCGACATAGCCATTACGCTAACTGCTGGTCCCAAAAATCGGTAGCATTTCTATACACCAATAATGAACTGGCCCAAACTGAAATTATGAAGGCAATCCCATTTACAATAATTACAAAAAAAAAACCTAGAAATTAATTTAAAGATCTCTACAATAAAAACTATAAAATACTAAAAGACATCAAAGAAGACATACCAAATAATGGAATGATATCTCATGTTCATGAAGTGAAATAATTAGCATCATTAAAATTATTATACTGGGGCCGGCAGCTGGCATGGTGGTTAAGGGTGCTGGACTTCTACATGGCCTACCACAGTTCAAATCCCAGACCTGGCAACTTGCTTTCTCACTTTCTCTCTCTCTCTCTCTCTCCCCTTCTCTCTCTCTCTGTCCCACTCTGGTCAAATTAAAATAAGTTAATTAGTTAAATAAATAATTATAAGAAAAATTATCATACTACTCAAAACAATTATAGATTGTCAATGCAATTCATATCAAAATACCACTTCTCGTTTTTAAATGCCTTCTAGGCAAGAAGCTAGCCCTTGGATATATAGAATTAAATAAGAGATGCCATCAAGTTGCTTACACTATAATGTGTTACAGTATGGCTAGTGCCTAGAATGTGACATATTCTATATTAGACATGTTACATCGATCACATGTTACTTAATTCGCACAGCCATCAAGAGCTACTTTATTATTCCTACTTCGAAGATCAGAATATTAAAGCTCAGAAACCTACCCAAGTCATTCTGTTAATAAACAGCAGAACTAGGATTTAAACTCAAGGTCCCCTGATTTCAAAATATATTGTTCTATTTCCTTTGTTATACTCTGGACCAGTCAGTGTTATCTGGAATCATAATCTTGGTATATTTGTTCTACTAAGCATATTTACTAACTTATTTGCCCTAGTGTTAAAATAAAACACTAAAAAGTTCTAAGTAGGCATTAAACAGGTTAAGAAAGTAACAAACCCCTTTGTGGAAAACGTAATAACAATTTAATATAAATAACATTAAAATCATGCATGATATTACAATATGGACCATTTCTGATCTTCTCAGATATAATGTAGTTTTATCCCATATATAGTACTTATTGCTATTTTCAGAATTTGGAAGAAAGCCCCAACAAAGGTTGTGCAAAGCAATTTTTGAAACTTATCTTCACACACAAGCCATTTTTAAATCCCAACAGGTATGTTTCCAGTTCTTGGATCAAACAAAACTCCATTTTATTTCCCTACTTACTATAGAACTGGTTTTCTGGAAGGGAACTAGATTCACTACTTAGATATGATACTCAACCACCTGTGTTACAGGGAAAATCCAGCACAGGGTACAGTTCAGGGGGATGCATAATAACTCAGAAAGCATCTGAACAAAGCAGTTTTCCATGTTCATGTGCTTTTGATATCAAAAGAATGTCCCTAAGAAATTCACACAATGTAACTAAAAAATCATTTCTGTAGTTTGGACTCAAAAAGAGGTTTATTTTGATAACTGAATGC